CTTTTAATTCTTTTTAATTCTAATAGTTTTAGATCAGGTAGAAAATTATACAAATAATACATGTATTCATCACAGCAGGTAAGTTTTAGACTCTTTCACATGCTGAATTTGGGGGGTCCTTCATAAAAGGTTTGCTTTTCTGTTTCTCAATAGAATTGAGAGACTCTTCAAAGAGTAGTTTTCAGTCTCTGATTAATCAGCTCAGACTCTATTTTGGAGGGTAGTGATGTTCCCAGTGAGAAGGCCCAGCAGCATCCATCTCCCCCATTCCCAGGGCTTTTCCTGGTCCTTGAACAAGCATGACAGGAAAGACAGCCAGAGATGAGGGAAGAAACCCAAACTCCAAAAGTTGCCTTGTTGATTGAGAACAAGTTGGGACATTACAGCAAGAGGTGGATTAAAACTTTTAAAATTCTCTATCAGGGATGGATGTTCTACAGAAAATGACTGGAGTTACAAAAAGTCACTTAACATCTTTGTGTTATTTCCTTCATGCAGATCTAAGTTTTGACAAAACAATACTTGTAAAGTACAATACAAAGAAGTAAGGCCACTATGGTGTCAATTCCATTTACTTCAAGTTGACAGTTACACGGCTGGGGGATGAAGAAGGAGGTACGTACCTATATTCCTTTTCCTATTCTTTCTCATTATAGGTTACTACAGGATATCACATACAGTTCTCTGTGCTGGACAGTAGAAACTTCTTGTTTAGCCATTTTATATATAGTAGTTAGTATCTGCAAATCTTGAACTCCCGATTTATCCCTTCCCACGTTTGTTTCGGCTTTGTAAATAAGTTCGTCTGTCTTTATATTCCACATATCATATAAGTGATAACATATGGTATTTTTCTTCTGGCTTACTTCACTTAGAATGACAATCTCCAGGTCCCTCCATGTTGTTGCAAATGGCATTATTTCACAATTTTTATGGCTGAGTAATATTCCATTGTATAAATATACCACAGCTGCTTTATCCAGTCATCTGTCAATGGACATTTGTAAATAGTGCTGCTATGAACATTGGGGTGCATGTATCTTTTTTGAATTAACGTTCCCTCTGGATATATATGCCCAGGAGTAGGACTGCTGGATTCTATGGTAAGTCTCTCTTTAGTTTTGAGGAATCTCCATACTGTTTTCCATAACAGCTACACTAAATTGCATTCCCACCAACAGTGTAGGAGAGGTCCCTTTTCTCCACACCCCATAAGATTACCTGTCAAGGATAAATACAAATATCAGTAAAAAGCTTTAGCTGTTGGAGCAGGTAATGGTGATTTGGTCAATCTGCCAGTGACACAATTGTGATTCAACTGTTACTTATACTCTAATGGATTTTGTATTACTGTACCTGATTCATGGCTAAAATATTGAAATGGAAGCTTTAGGGTGCCTATGGATGCATGCTATGTATATGTGACATTTTTTTCTGCCTCCCAATGGTATGGTTAATTTGTTTATCAAAGCTCTATTTAATTGACTTACAGAATATGGGCTTATCAAATTAAATATTTCTAAACTCTAAGTTCACATGATCTAGGAAATTAAACTAGCTTTTTAATTTAATGAACTATTGATTTAATTAAGATAGGCATGTCCTCAGTTATCAGCATTCAATATAATGCAGACATGCAACTTTTATTCTCCCTGAGTTTGCTAGTCAAATAAGCTCACGTTAGCTCTCTTACAAAATTTGTAACTATGGCTAGCTTTTTTAACTTCTCATGACGTTTTCCTGAGTAACTTGAGTATGATTGTTAAATAGACATAAGGGGGATAAAAACTTCTAAGAAGTGAGGGAACTTTTCAACAATAGTCTACTTAAAAAGCTACTCAAATGTTTTTGGTATTTGAGGGGAATTCAATGCATTTCTATACCACTTCCGAGTAAGGTAAAATACCAAAAGATTAATTACCGAACATAGGGTTACACAGCTTTGGTTTCTTACTGCAGCAAAACTAGAGGTATCTGTCAGCAAGTATGTGCCATGTTAAAAAAAAATGCACTATATGCATTTGTGTTTCTAGAAATTATGAAATGTATTCACAAATTGCTTCTTAGTTTTTACTAGAAATTAAGGCTTCTACAAA